AGAGCCGTATCGTTACAGTTCGTAAAAAACGACCACTTATATAGAGATATTAACGTCATATGACGGCGAAGGAGGAGGAGGGGGGAGTGCTCGCGAGGTTACTAAAATATAGAGTCCGTCAGCATGTACAACGTTGTTAATCGCACTTTCCTCTTGACCTTTTGAATATGCTCCTCTTGCGGGGTTTTTCTTCGTCTTGCCGCAAGATCAATACGACAAAGACCGCTTTTAGAACGCCAGTGTCGGTCAGCGCGTAGCATCATCTGCTGAATTTCCCAGACACAGAGAGAAGAAGAGCAGCGATGACGGTCGTACCGCCACGGCGGTCGGTACTGGGGGTCGGTACCACTTATACGCGATACTCTCTTATTCTTGTTGTTTGTGCACAGGGCGTGCGTGCGGTGTACTTGTGTGTTGCAGATGAGCATTTGACCGGCATTTACAGCAAGTTATCGACAATAATAGGCGGAATAGAGTAGAGAAACATTAAGACTTTGGTAGTAAATACATTTCGTGTTTATTTACCATTATTTTTTGTTATTGAGACGTTCCAAGTGCCTGTGTATAGAATGTGCGGCAGCGATGCATGTGCGTTGGGTGAGAGTTGCGCGAATATTTTTGACATCCCAATCTCCGCCTTGCCCAGCTCTTCGCTTGCCAGTCCCCTTGTAATGTTTACTCTTTCCTTCTACCCGCTTGTTACCCGTGATCGTACGTTCGTGGTCTACGTATCTTATTAGAGGTATCGCTGTACGCCTCCGACACAAACTACTGAACGCTGCTGGTACGTGGTTAGATTACAAACATATTTACTGACCCAGAAAGGCTCATACATATAATAGGTGTCCATGTAAAGAACCGAACGTATACAGAAAGTTACGCGACATATCATGCACTTACATATCAATCGTTGGCAGTCAGCGATGAAGGCAATAATAACTATATGGTAACACGTTCGTCGACTGAGATGCAAGTACGTAGTGCCCCTAATTTCATGAACAGCGCTTTAAGTAGCGACGCGTTCGTTATTGTCTTAGCCCCCCACCTCTCCCATTGGTCGAAGCATCGGGCGTGACCGCTGGTCAAGCGTGCTAATGTACGCGCGCTGGTATTGGCTGGCTAGGCGCCGTAAATCTCTGTTCACGCGTGTCCACAGGACACGCGCTCCCATTGGCTGCTGGTGTGGGTCGTGGTCACGCCTTTTTTACGACCAGCCCAATTACGTGCCGCGGGCTAAGTCTACACAGTGCGCGTTTCTAAGACAAAGAGCTTGTCTTATCCCTCTGCTTTTCTTATTATTAATATTCCGTATTACCTTACTCACTATTATTATTTCTGCATTACATTGTTAATACAGGATAACTTGTATAGTAGCGATGATATCTCTGATTCTCATCACTTTTCCATGTTTTCTTGTTCTTGTTTTTTTTTTAATGAAATCGACTATGGATTTTGATAACCAAGCACTTGGTTCGAGTCACTGTTCAACCGATG